ATATATGTGCGAGCAGGTCACAGTGTCACACAGCGTGGTGCAGATGGGCATCACTGCCAAGGCAACACCTGGAGGTACTTTGATAGGGCAGGCACCTGATCAATCTCATGTAATAATAGCAGTGATTTCTCTCTGTTTCTGAAGTGCCTGTGTGTGTGTGTGTGTGTGTGTGTGTGTGTGTGTGTGTTAGTTGCTCATCCATGTCTAACTCTTTGCCACTCCATGGACTATAGCCTGACAGGCTGCTCTGTTCATGGGATTTCTCAGGCAAGAATACCGGAGCGGGTAAGATACCTTCTCCAGGGTATCTTCATGACCCAGGGATTGAACCCAGGTCTCCTGCATTGCAGGCAGATTCTTTACTGTCTGAGCCCCCAGGGAAGCCCTTTGATGTACCTAGTACATGCCGTTAAGTACCTTAAGATATCATTTCTAATTCTCAAAATAATCCTGTAAAGCTTCATCTTTTATTTATTTATTTTTTGTTTGTTTCCAACAGAAAAATGAAGACTTAGCATAGGGCCAAGATCACATAGCAAATACCTGGCTCAGCAGAGATTTGAATTCTTGGAGCTGTTTGTAAAGCTCAGGGTCCTCCCACCATTTGGGGAGTTTCCCAAAATGTGGTTTTCCCAAGGTGTGATTAGGAAACTAGCAGAAAACCCTGGAGGCGTTCATTAGTGCACAATTCCGGGCTCCATCTCATTGCTACTCAGTTTGATTCTCTGGAGTGCAGCCCAGGAATCTGAATGTCTGACATTTTTCTTACGACTCTGCTGCATGTTCGAGTTTGAGAACTGTGATTTTAATCTGCTGCTTTGGTCTTTTCATAGAGTGATCATGGTGGTGGGTGTTATCATGACCTCTTTCCAGCTGGATGATGTCTAACCCAGTGTCTGAAAAGCAAACATCCAGTAAAAAAAAAAAAAAAAAAGACTGTCCTAGCCACACTCTCAAACTGCAGGTTAGCCTCTAAAGCTGGGTATTACTTCTGTGTTCTGGGACAAAGTCACGTTCTTTTTGGCACTTTCCCATTAAGTCAGATACTGGCCACTTGGGAAAGGCAGTGTCAACATGTGGAAATGAAGGACATTAAAACACTCAGAATAAGTTTTGGGTCCCTGCCAGGCCTTTGTGGGTTTTTATATCCCTTTCATCAGTTCTATGGAACCACTGCCTCCAGAATGCATTTTGCCTTGAAGGACGAACTCACAGCCACCTTTTCTAAGAAGTCTTCCTTTCTGATGCCAATGGGAAGTGATGCCTCCCACTCTGACCTCGTAAACACTTCCAAGAACTGTGAAAGAGTACAAACTGCTAACCACCTTTAACCATTAGGTTCTGTCTAGCTTCATCCTTTCTTGTTTGGAATTACTGTGCTACGTCTGAAAGCTTCTTAAAACAAAACAAAATGAAACAGCTATATACAGGAATGAATTTTTGTCCATTCACACAGACCAGCTTTGCCAACCAGTCACCAGCTTCAGTATAACAAACTAGATTCTGAAATGCCAAATATTCTAAAAAGCATCTACAAGTGAGGAGATTAATTAATAAAAAGAGGTGAAGCTAGAGCATAGAACTGTGCAGATTTTAGAACTAGAAGGGATCTTGGTTATTATTCATTCTAACTTAGTCCTTTGATAATTAAAGAAGTGGAAATCAAAGAAGATGAGGTCTCAGAGCTAATGTATAATAAATGTTAGTTGCTCAGTCATGTCCAACTCTTTCTGACCCCATGGACTGAGCCCACCAGGTTCCTCTGTCCGTGGGATTCTCCAAGCAAGAATACTGGAGTGAGTTGCCATTTCCTCCTCCAGGAGATCTTCCTGACTCAGGGATTGAACATGGGTCTCCTGCATTGCAGGCAGATCCTTTACCATCTGAGCCACCAGGGAATCCATGTATAGTAAAGAGAGGACTATAGCAAAGTCAGTTTTCTTTTTACCGACCTACACTAGAGATCTTTGTCCTGTCCTCCTACTTCACTGTCCCTTTTCTCAATATATAAATCTCATAGGCTGTCTAAGGAGATCAACAGTGCTTACATGAATGGTTAACTTACTCTGAGAAAGGTATCCTTAATTCCTCCATGCCCATACCTTTTCATAAGGAGTAAGGATCAGTAATACAGAAATCATATGCCACAGAGATACCACTGAGTCATTCATTAATCCAACCAGTATTTCTTGTGTTTCCACCATGTACCAGGTGTAGGGGTAATGAAGTAAAGAAAGTAGATGGAAATGAACAAAAATTCACTCCGACAGGAAGCTTATATTCTAGTGGGGAAACACAAGGGGAATGAATAAAGTCCTTAAGAGTAATGATGAGTGCTAAGAGGAAAAGGCAGGGAGTGGGAATAGGAAGTGAGGATATGCGTGCATGGTGGTGGGCTGTATTTTAGACAAGGTGGCCACAGAAGGCCTTGTTGAGAAGTACCGATCACAACTGGGGAACGCAAATATGAGCTACTACCCAAGAAAATTCTGACATCAGTCTCTACAGGGAATGGCAGACAGAGATGAGATCTGGAAAATGCTGGGAAAGATTTGAGTATTGACATTCTTTTGGTGCTGTTAATAATCTAGGCAGTGGGAAATGGAAATAGAGGAATGGAACAATTAAAATGGCGGCAACTAGACTTTGAAGGAGGACATGAAGCAATTTGCTAGTATCTGAGTTGAAAAGAAATGTCTGATGGTTTGTGGCTTCACATAAAGAACTTTGCTTAGAATACAGAATTTAGAGAATGGAATTCAGATTGACAAGAGGTATTATTATAATTTTTCTAAATCTACAGAGCATGAAGCAATGCCAAGACTACTTGGCAAGATGATATGTGACTTTAAATTTGATGAAAATGTTGAAAAATTCAAACATCTGATTCACCCAAAGTGAAAGAAAAAGTGAAGTCACTCAGTTGTGTCCAACTCGTTGTGACCCCATGGACTGTAGCCTACCAGACTCCTTCATCCACGGAATTTCCCAGGCAAGAGTACTGGAGTGGGTTGCCATTTCCTTCTCCAAAATATGTAATTAATTATGAGGATTTTGGCTAAAGGGTGAAATTTATATTGTTGTTGCTGTTTAGTTGTTAAGTTGTATTAAGTCTTTTGTGACCCTATGGACTGTAGCCTGCCAGGCTCCCTCTGTCCATGAGATTTCTCAGGCAAGAATACTGGAGTTGGTTGTCATTTCCTCCTCCAGAGGATCTTCCCAACCCAGGGATCGAACCTGCATCTCCTGCATTGGCAAGTGGATTCTTTGCCACTGAGCTACCAAGGAAGCCCTGAAATTTATATAGAGTTCATGAAAATTTCCATTTTTTTTTTGAGAGTCTACTGCATGCAACACATAGGCAGTGCCTCCGAGACTCAAAGAGGAGCAAGATACATTTCTACCTCAGTGAACTTTTCACTGCAGTAGATCCATTTTCACTTCCTCCTGGGCATCCAGAAGGAATTCATTTCTCCACTTCCCTTGCAGTGAAGTACAGTTTGTGGCTTCCATTTCCCTTGCAGTGAAGTACAGTTTGTGGCTGAGTTCTGGCCAATGGGATTGGAGTGGGCAGGATGGATATCCCTTCTAGGTTTGGCCCATGAAATCCTAGGGGATTGAAGAGTCTCAAAATGCAAGGAACTGGGGTCCCTATGTCACCAGCAGGAGGCCTGTCCACTTAAACATCTGATTAAAATTTATGTGATATTTGTGTCTGTTGTGCTGAAGTGCTAAGATCTGAGCCAATTTGTGTTGCCCAAGTCATACAATTATTGATGAACATTTGCATAGAATTTTACAGTTTGCAGAATGCTTTCACATATCAAAGGATTCTGGGAACTGCCCTGGGAAACAGGTCATATTTTAATTTTTTCCCCATTTCCCAAAAACTGAAATTGATGCTTATTGAATACTGAATTACTTGGTCATGATCGCAAAGGTGCAACAGAGAGAGCAAATATTCTAAACCACTGGCTCTCAAATTTACAAAAATAACTGATATAAGACAAGGATGGAAATAAATCTAATGCAAGGCCTTTGATAAACATAGACAAAATATTAGGGAAATTCAAAAGAGGGAACTAGCACACTCAGCTGAAGAAGCCATTAAAGGCTCTAGTGGAATAGGTAAGATGTATAGTGAGCATTTGCAAATTCAAAAAAGAAATGTATGAAGAACCATCAAGAAGATTCCTGCAAATTTTGACATGTGCTACAAGTGGTGAATAGACACAAAAGAGAGTTGGCATTTGTTCGAATGATCCAAGGGAAGTGGGAGCTAGCAATGCAGTTTTTCTGAAGGAAAACAGGAACCAGTAATTCAATACAAATCAAAAAAATATTTACTGAGTGCCTGGCAGATGGAGAGCCTTCCAGAATTGTACAGAGGATACAGAGAGGAGATAACAAGGGCACAGCCTGTGTTTTAAATGCGTTTATAATCTACTGGGGGAAATAGCCATACATGACTTCAACACAATGTTAAGATAAACATCAATAGGAACAGTAATAGGTTCAAGGGACAGAGAAGTGACTTGGCACAGTGATGCGAGAAGGACACAGGGAAGATAGGTAGAGCTTCATGCAGGAAGCAGAAGCTCCAAATTGACCTTGGAGGAGGGGCCATTGCTGAGGATGGTTATAAATACATGAATTCATGGGGGCCACATATAATTCCAAAAAGAAGTCTTTTTATCAATTTTGGGGGCAAGGACACTGCTATACAATTAATCAAATGACTCCAAAACATGACTATTGTTTAGGAGACAATGAAGTGAAATTTTTAATTTGGATATGTTTGTTTAAACCTGGAATCATAAACTTACAGTGATGTCATAGGTATGTACATATCTATTCCTATTGAAATTGCCTGGCTTCCAGTGAATTCAGTCAATGACCAGTACTATGAGCCAAAAGGTGGTGTGCCTGTTTCATTATGCCACCAAAAGGCAATCAAAAGGCAGCTTACTGAGATGTCCTGCCAAACACGGGACACTCACCATGAACAGGGCTTCATAATTTTCAATCATTTTCTGCACCACAGCAATGATGGCTGTGCTCTCTTCAGCGCGGGCCGAACTCTGGACTGAGAACTCTTTGTCTGATGACTTCTGCTTGTGCAGCAGGTTGGGTCCAAATATGGTGGCCAAGTTTAGAGATGTCATTTTGTTCCCAGTGACCTACAGAAGCAGAGGATACAGGATGGTTGTGATTTTTGTGTTTCAAAACACTGAGTGGTTAAATAATCAATAGAATCCTTTTACTTTCTCATTTTTTTTCCTACAAGGACCACATCATCGCTGTCAGAATCCATGAAGGGCATCATATTTTCCTTTTGCTTCATATCTTGAAGCATAGCTCAGTGGTCATCTTAATAGCATACTGAGTAAAATTTTAGAATGCTGTTTTTGTGAAACTGGTACTGTATAAAATTTCTATCCTGTCTGCTCTAAAAAAACATTGATGTTCATCCATTCAACTGACCATCTATCCATCCCTCTATCTATCCCTTCATCCATCAACCCATCATCTCTTTATTACTCCATCGACTCAGTACCCACCATAGATAGGCATTTTTCATGGATTCTAATTACTCAAAAGTTTTTTCCAACAAAGATCACAAACCACTCCTTATTTTAAAGGGTTCACATTCTAGAGGAGAAAAGCAATTGATCAGTTACAAGTAGTCAAGAAGATCCCCTGGAGGAGGGGATGGCAACCCACTCCAGTATTCTTGCCTAAGAAATCCCATGGACAGAGGAGCCTGGCGGGCTACAGTCCATCCATGGGGTCAGAAAGAGTCAGACACAACTGAACTGACTGAGCACACACGCACGAGGATAAAGCATGAAACTATCAACTCTGGAGGCCCCAGGGAAGACACTCCAAAGAGAAGGCAACATTTGCCCAAAACCTTGAAGGAGAACAGAGTTTGCCAGGCTGCAAAACAGAGGAGCTGGTGCAGGGGGCACCTTCACAGTGGTGAGAACACTGTGTGCAAAGACAGAAATAGATAAAATATGCCAAGGCACCCCAGGAAGCTCAGCGAGGCAGAGGGTGCTACAGGGAGGCCTGGTGAGGGCCAGGTGAAAGTCATTGCTACGTGTCCCCTGGGGGGCAAACCTGCTCCTGGTTAAGTACCACTGATCTAGGCCAGTTATTTCTCCTGTTGAAATCAGCTGAAAACCTATAAATGCCCAGGTGAGGGTGGGAACTGCGGCTGCTTGGGGATGTTCCTTTGCCTGGGAAGGTCTGCACGGCCTTCGAGAAGCAGTTGGATGCAGAGCATAAAATTCAAACACAGAATCAGTTCCTGACTCACAGCTGAGATTCAGCCTCTGGAGTCCCCACCTTGTCCCATGGAGCCCTGACTAAGCGGATGGCTACCCAGCCCTGCAAGCCCAGCATGGCACTTGCCTGCGTGGGTGCTCAGTAGCTCAGTCAGGTCCGACTCTTTGCGACCCCATGGACTGTAACCCACCAGGCTCCTCTGTCCATGGGATTCTCCAGGCAAGAATACTGGAGTGGGTTGCCATTCCCTGCTCCAGGGGATCTTCCCAATCCAGGGATCGAACCTGCGTCTCCTGCATTGGCAAGGGGATTCTTTATCATTACCACTAAAGTAAAGATAAAGGGGTGCGTTATTTTTAGAAGGCGAGGCCGTTTTCAGGTTTGCCGCCAAGTGTAATGATTTCATGTGGTAAACACTGGGAACTTTTAAGAAATTGTCCTTTATGTACAACGGTTCAATTCCATTTTTCCTTTGTTTCATTTCATTGATATAAAACTTGACAAGTTTTCATGTTATTTTTCACTTCTCTTCCTGGAAACTCATGGCTGAGGATAAAACCAAATGTCCTCTATTTTCAAATTCATCCCTTTAGAACTCAGAGGCATTTGGAATGCTTCCCTTTTCCCTCTTAAAGTAATATCGGGGTTTTCTAATTAAAACAACAACAACAACAACACAGTCAAATAGAAGATTTTGTTTTCTTTGAAAAGAATGTTTAGTACAAGGACAATCCAGAACCCTGCTTCCACTTGCTCGCCTTCTCCTGGTGCTATTTTGGGAATACAACACAAGCCCGCTGTTAAAATGCACCAAGATTCCAGCTGCAGACCACGCTGCTGTGGTTTGTTAATGCCTTTTTTTTGTTTTGGTTTGGTTTTACTTAATTGTCTTTTAAACTGGAAAGGAGATTTGCTCACAGACGGCATCCAACTTTGTCCCGCATGTTACAGCATCTCTCGCGCACACACGCGCACGCTTGCCCCCATCACTTTTCTCTATGACTGGCTAATATAATGTGCACTTGGGCTTGCTCCATTATTTATCAGAGAATTCAAGGAAAACATTTATCTCTAAATAAGCATCCTAGATCATTTCTGAGCCGTATATGAATAGCTCACATTTATTAAAAGTTCAGCATGTCGGTGAGGGAGAGAAGGATTGTGAGTTTGGGATTAGCAGAAGTAAACTTAAACATAGAATGGATAAACAACAGGTCCTACTGTAGAGCACAGGGAGATATATACAGTGCGTGCTCCTGTGTGCTCCATCACTAACTTGTGTCTGACTCTTTTCTAACCTCATGGACTGTAGCCCCAGGCTCCTCTGTCCATGGGATTTTCCAGGCAAGAATACTGGAGTGGGTTGCCACTTCCTTCTCCAGAGAATCTTCCTGACTCAGGGATCGAATCCAGGTCTCCTGTACTGTAGGCAGATTCTTTACCATTTGGGCCACCGGGCAAGGCCTACTTGAGCCACTACCCTGTAATAAACCATCCTGGAAAAGAATATGAAACAGAATGTACTTATATGACCAAATTACTTTGCTGCACAGCAGAAATAAACACAACACTATAAATCAGCTATACGTCAGTAAAATAGAAAACTTTTTCAAGTTTAGCACATAGAGTCACTGGGCTAGGGGCTTTCCACAGACTGTTGTGATTCCTTCTCACTACTCATAAGACAAAGCCACTGCTGCCGTCATCCTTATTTTACAGACAAGGGAAGTGATGCACAGAGCTGTCCCTCACTCTTGCTGGCAAAGCCAGTATAGTGGGCACTTGGGAAAACTGGCTCCAAAACCCGGCCAGGGTGAGGATAGTTAGGTACTGACCCTGCTACAGATCCAAAGCCACGCTTCCACTTCCTTGAGGCCTGTATCTCATCAAAGGCCCGTAAACCTGGCCCTGTGTTAGTGGTCTGTAACTTCTTTTTGCCTCATAAGATTCTCTGAAGGACTGGACACCAGCTATGAATCTTCTCACACACACACACACACACACACACAGTATACACTCACACCACACATTCCATGCCATGCCGGGGAGTTCTTAGAAAACCTGAAAACCACTGCTCTAGACGTTTCCATGATGTTCCTGCAATATTCTCTCTAGAGGAAATGAAATCTTTCTTACATTTGGGAATTTCTCTTTTCCCCTAAGGAACAAAGCAAATAGCAAACTGAACAAAATGGAATAAAGCAAAACAAACCCCCCCAAAAAAAAAAACAAACCCAAGATAGCAAAACATTTGATAAAATACCACTATTTTTGCCCCTAAAGCACTCATTTACTGGTCAATAATTTTTCTCATGCCCTTCTTTTAGACATCTTTAAGATCCCATCCGTGATGCATGGGAATTTAAGCACCTATTAGAAAAGATATATTACATTCATCTTATAAAAGAGGAAGTTCAGGTCTCCCCCTACCCCAACTTTATTTTCCCTCCTCTTCCTCTGTTTTATAAAAACAATTTCATGTAGTAAGGTACTAGCAGAGCCTGTGTGGGCCTCCAAGCTCCTTGACACTCTGCATCATTTTTCTTCCTTTTGCAATGCGTAATAACTGCCCCATAGACAGGTAACACACCTAGCACAAACTAACAAACAGGTAAGAGCAAAAGTTGAAAACTGCTTTGTTTCTTGACTGTATTTTACAGTTGAATTTTTCTCTCACTCCAGTGTGCTCATTCTGAGTTCTCTACCTGCTCATACCAAACCAACTTACATCGTGAATTAAGAACCTCTCTCTCATTCCTCCTCCCTTGCCCTTCTTTTCTACCAGGAGGGGTTTCCAGCTAACTCCCATTCCTAGGCCATACTTCTGTGGCCTGCTTACTTAACCCCTGCACACCCTTTGATATGGAGTTTCAATTCAATCTCCTCTGCAAAGCCATTCCTATCTTTTCTGGTCCACGTTCATCACTTCATCTCTGGAGTTCTGCAGTGACTCTGTGTTGAGATTTCTAATTCTATATTTGCCTTGTGTTTTTACCCCCTCCACCTTCTAGGATGCCATGGCATTCTGGGAATATGAATTAGGAAATTCCTGAACGATGCTCACTGTTTTAGAGGAACACAGAGTAGGTACTCAGAACATACATGATTCAGATACCAAGGCCACTCTCATATGGAAGAATTTATAATGTGAAGTGCTATTTTCCACATTGCTATTCCTATGAAACCTTCCTGACTCACTTTCTTCCTGTCTCAAACCAATCTACAACATAGATTATATCACCTTAGTCAAATCCTTCCAAAGATTCATGGCTTAAAAGAATCAACCACCTACCGCTGACAAAAGCATTCAGGACTCTGGGAACTTAGCCCAATTTCCTCTCAGACCTCATCAGTACTTTCCCACGATGCAGCCTCTAGTCCAAGATGGCTGTGTGGGCTACATCTTCCTGTAACTTCTGAACATTTCATGGAAGCAATGCTCTCCTCATATTTCCTCTGTCTCTCTAATTTTTGGTTACTGGTCCTTCATTTTGACTCAAGGTTTAGGTTAAGTGTGTCTAGAAAGCCTTGTCATCTCTTGCGTCCCGTACAACTTTGCTGTTACCAGCATATTTTTCTATGCCTTGTAATAAACTAGTTTTCTCAAAGACTGTGCAGTACCAGTTGAATAAGTTTTATTTCCAAAGTTTAGGTAAGGAAATCCAGGTTTAGGAGGTTAACAGATTTGTCCAAGAACACAGAATCAGTGAGTTATAAAGCTACCAAGTGTTCACAGCCAGGGTGGGCTCCCCATGATTCCCGGGGAAGGGGGGACTTCCCAGGCAGCACTAGTGGTAAAGAACCTGCCTGCCAATGCAGGAGATGTAATAGATGTGGGTTCAATCCCCCGATCGGGAAGATTCCCTGGAGAAGGGCACGGCAATCCACTCCAGTATTCTTGCCTAGAGAATCCCATGGACAGAGGAGCCTGGTGGGCTACCGTCCATGGGGCCACAGAGAGTCGGACACGACTGAAGCGACTTAGCATGCACACACGCAACGATGTTTTCTTTTCTTTGCCATAGGCAATGCAATCTTGTTCAGCATTTGGACTGAAAGAAAGTCTGAAAATGATTCTAAAAAGGCACAAGTGAGTTCCACTGGACATTTTGCTCTCCTCAATGCCTTCTCAATTACCTAAAACCTGACTTTCTTTGCACATAGTACTTAAGAAATGTCAGAGAGGTGTTTCATGTACCTAGGAACCCAGACAAGGCTCTGCCTTAACCCAATGATTAGGCAGATGATTCTATAGCTTATAGTCAATAAAGGCTGACACCCAGTCGGGTAATATAACTACTTAACAATTATGTGAATTACAGTATATCCAATGAAGAGCAGTGTCTGCTGAAGGAAGGTGTCAGTGTCATATTATGAAACCTGAAGCCAGCAGAGTTTCACTAATAACTGCTATGAAGATAAACAGCTAACTCAGGGAAGTTCCATTCTCACACTGATAGGGATGACGAGGATAAGAAACGTAGAATTGCCTTTCTAGATTAAAGCAAAAAAAATTACATATGAGCATGGCCTTAGGGAAAGGAACCTGACAATTACAGAAATGAATCCATGACACAGCTGAGTTCTGCTTAATAGGATTTAAAATAGAAAGCTCCTGAGGTAAGTAAGCTTGGAATGTCTTTGGCCCCTTCTTATTGATTTACAATGCATGTTAGCATAGTGAACGGTCTGAGATCTCCTGGGGAATAAAAGGTCAGGGAGAAGTATGACTGCATGGTTTCAAAAAAGGGAAGCAGGTCTCTTGTTAGGGTTAAGATTAAATAAGTTGCTTTCTTAAAATTGAGGCCAGCATCTCTCCTTTGTTCAAGGGAGAAAGTGGAAAATACCTTGAAGCACCAAAGAACACCAGAGCCCAAGACCTCAGATTGGGGGCCAAGTCCAACAAGAACATTCCAGAGGCGTCCAGAGGACTGTGGAGAACCTGTCTTTAGCAGCTGATACCAGGTGGCACTGAGATGCATTGTTGTTTAGTCACTCGGTCGTGTCCAACTCTTTGTGACTGCATGGACTGTAGCCTGCCAGGCCCCTCTGTCCATGGGATTCTCCAGGCAAGAATATTGGAGTGGGTTGCCACACCCTCCTCCAGGAGATCTCCCTGACCCAGGGATTGAACCCACGTTTCCTGCCTTGGCGGGTGGATTCTTTACTGCTGAGCCACCAGGGAAGCCGCCTTATTCTTTTTTAGCTCTCCCTTTCCAAACAGGAAAAAGGAAGAGGTGAGCATGCGTGGCAGCGGCGGGGTGCGCACCTCTTGGCCGTCCTTGCTGACGTTGTCCTCAGCGTGCCTGGCCACGATGGACAGGAACTGCAGCAGGCGGTGGAGCGTGTCGCAGTTGCAGGGAGGTAGCAGGTAGATGAGGAGTTGCAAGGTGCCCAGCTGTTCCTCTGGCTCCAGCACTGAGCAAGGCAAGAAAAGGGGCTCTAAGTAAGTCAAGGCGGAGGTCACACCCTTCCGGCTTAACTGTCTTCAGAAAGGGATTAACAAGGCAAGTCACCTTTCATTCCTGCCCCCCACCGTTGGGTTAGCAATTCTACAGTAAGGTTCTATGAGGGATAGAAAGATAAACGCGACCTGGGGAAATGTGACACCCACAGAAATCATTCTAATCCAAGGTAGAAAGGTAATGTCATTTCCCTTACTTTCTTCTTTTTCCTTCCCTTGGTGGAAATCCTCACATACTTTAGGGATCACAGCCCATTTACAAACCATGTGGGAATGTTCTAAAATCTGAGTTTCTAACAGATTGGAGGCCCTGGTCGGTTGAGCAGGACACAAGAGGTAGACTTTTTGTTGGCAATAAGCGAGACCCGGTGCAGTCGGGGTCTTCTCTGTTGTGAGCCACCCGCAGCAGGAAGGAACGCATGGAGGCTCACAGAGTTCTCGCCACTTCCTCCTCCCAGTTGCCCTCCTGTTCTCCTTTGGGGATCTGTCCCTCTAGCCCTGAACCAGCCACATTGCAAGTCCCGGTCCTGGGCTCTACCTGGAATATTTCCCATCTCCCTTTCTCACTCTGGGTTCCAGAAATGCAAACTCATTTTTAGGCGTGGACTCAATCCTCTCTGTTACTCCAAAGCATCAATTTGTAGCACTTTCTACTATCCTAGAGTCATCTGAAGGCATCCCCAATTTTTCTTGGCTACTTCCATTTGTTTCATGGCAACTTTCTTCCTGCCAATTCTCCCCAGGGTAAGTCTCACAAAATTCCCCCAATAGCCCGATCATTAGAGACAGATAAATCAGGTCAAAATAGTATTAGGAAACATATGCACAAGGTTTTGATGAGTGAGTGGGGCATCCCAGTAAGACATTCCTGCAGATGGCTGGATTACATACAGAGGGTGTTGATGAAAGCTGTGTACAGCTCCCTGGTGAGCAGGGGGTCCGGCATGTCCCTCAGGAACTCCTTCAGCAAGGCAGCCACATCATGGACGCTGTGTTCCTCCTCCAGGGAGACATCAACCCCACGGTCAAACTCCTCACGTAGCTGGAAAGACAAGAGTTCCAGTGGCAGTCTCGGAACAGCACACCTCAACATCCAGCACCCAGCGAAAGAAGTGCTGTGACATGCAGCCTCGAGGAGTGGGTTTACCCAGACCCCGGGAAGGAGAAGCAAACAACGTGTGACCTTGATCTATAGCTTCTATGCAAACCCAGCCCTGAATATATGAAGTGAAAGTGTTAGTTTCACAATATATATGTGTGTGTGTGTGTATATATGTACACACACACATATATCATATGTATATATATATAGCCACCAGGGAAGCCCATATAAGCCCATATATATGTGTATATCTATAGCCACCTGGTGGCTAAGACTGTAAAGAGTCTGCCTGCAATGCAGGAGACCCGGGTTCGATTCCTGGGTCAGGAAGATCCCCTGGAGAAGGGAATGGCAACCCACTCCAGTATTTTTGGTTGGAGAATCCCATGGACAGAGGAGCCTGGTGGGATACAGTCCACGGGGTCGCAAAGAGTCAGACACACCTGAGTGATGAACACTTTCACTTTCATATATATATACACATAGGAAATGAATTATTAAATACAAGTACCAGTGGGTTTACTGTTAATGACACAAGCAGCAGGGCTTGATAATGACATCCAGGAGGTTGGGAGGAAGAGCTAAGGGGTTAGGTCAACTCTAATTGTGGGAGGGAAGAATTAATCCATTGTATAGCAGTTTTGCATGTCAGCAATTTTACCACATTGGAATTCTGACATTTTCCACAAATACTAGACAAGGAAGCAAAGAGATTTTTCTGCAAACAATGAAATTAAACACCCTGAGAAACCATTTGTTTCTCTGAGGCTTGAAGGGTGACAATAACTAAATAAAATCTGCCTTAGATTTGTCAAAGTAGCTTTATTAACATTTTCCAGGAAGATTGCCTGCCTTCATCATTATCGTCACTCCTTTAGCATTTATCACAGTAGGAAAACACAATAGCCAGAAGGAAGTCATAACTCTACACCCTACTTTCATCTCTGGCAGCTCAACTTCTCTTAGGTATTGTTCTCTGCTGTTAAAATAAGTTAGTGAGTTTATGAATCTGCTCTAGGCAGTAAACTTCTGTAAATGTTTATGTGCTCTGTCATTCATTCAAGAAGGATGTACTGCCCACCTGCTGTGTACCGGGGCCTTCTTAAAGGTCCTCAAAATATGGTGATAAGTCAAGAGGCAAAGCCCTTCCCCTCTTCCAGCTCTCAGACAGGTGATAAACTGGTAATCCCATCAATCACTAATTAGCTCTTAATACTATGACAATTGTTCTGAAGAAAAAGTGTAGGGGGTTATGAAGTGATATAGCAAGATCAAATGGTGAGGTGGAGCATACTTCATGCTTGAAATCTGACTACTTATTATATATATATATATATATAGTTTTTTTGGAGAGTCCATAAGTAAATCTCCATGCAAAAGTTTTCCTTTGGGTGAATAAAGATATGACTGAGGAATAATGTCTGTCACTAGCCACCTCGCCACCTGATAAGAATACTGTCCTGAATGGCTCATCAATTCCAGATTACTCATCCTTAGCATGCACCAGGCAGCCAGAACGAAGAAGGCTTCCATTGGCACCACTCCTATTCATGACCATTCAAACATACCATGTTTCTTTTCTGAGCGAGAACACACACACACATGCATGCGCACGCTGAAAGAAAGGATTGTAGAAAGAGCCTGATCTAAACTGCGTGCCTTGAATTAAATGTCTTTATCTCTCTAAGCCTCAGAAGTGGGTGAAAAGGGCTCGTCTCTCAGCTGGTGGGCGAATTCAGTGAGGTAACGTTTTTGAAAATATTCTGCAGCTCTGCACAGGAGGCCTAAGAAATGTTACTATGCTATCTTCTTCCTGCTAGTCCTATTGTGAAATGTGAAATGTTATTTAATAGTCTCTAAAGTGACTATTATAAATAAAACCAACCAACCAACCAAACAGAAAACATACTTCTTTTGAAAACCCCCTTTTGTCTGGACAAAAAAAAGACACAAGAAGGCATTCATTTCACTTAGTTTCAATAATATGAACAAATATCATTTCTTCAGATTCATCCAACTAAAAATTATTTTCATTTGGCTTCATTTTTGAATTGCTGGGTTCCTTACTTCTTTCTGTTGGAACCAACAGAGGGAAAATAATATTTTAATTTTCTTTTAGCCAACATATGAATTCTTTTCTCAAAGGAAGGTTTGTCTTTTATGAAGCTGTCATGAACACAGATATCTGCCTAATCATAGGAACCTGCTTCTGAAGCTCTAATTCCAAACTTCTTTTGCAAGAAATCTGGAAGTGTTGAAGGAAACTGAAGGGTACGATCCCCACATGGAAGATGAACTGGGGAATCCATGGTTCCACAGAAAATTAATACAATTATTTCTGAGAAGTTAAAGCTATAAAAAGCTGTAGCATTTTCACAGAAGAGATATTAACAGGATTACTTATATTGCATTTTGGTAGAAATGAGTACTATATAATTGTTTTCTATTTATTTTCACTTACTGATCAGGTACTCTCTGAATCTCCTGCATTTACAGTGTCAATAAAATGTTTATAAATTAGTTTTGTTTTGTAGTACATGCCATGGGCACGTCTAGACATTGTGCTTTCAATTGTATGATCCTAAATCTTTCTGAGCTTCTGAGTTCGCCTTTTACTTCTTGGGACTCAGTTGTACCATAATCAGTGAGATAGTGCAGAAAAGATATTCAGAAATGAACTTGCATAAGCTCAAACTTTGCACAAGGTAATTCACCTAGAAGTCAAGTGAAATGTACAATATCATCTCCACTTATCACTTACTTGTCTCACTCTCTTTTTTGAGCTTCCAACTCGGAATATCCCCACTGTCTGGAGGCCTGCAAATGAGGAAACAAAATCTTCAGTCCTGTTTTATGGTTTCAAACTGGAGCAAATCAAAATAGATATAAAACAAAATGCCAACACCACACTGCAACATGCAGTGTAATGGTGACTTGACAGCATGCATTAATGCTTATTTATGCCATGCTAGATTCACCAGGTAGGTACCTAGAAGTTAGCCCTGCTAGCACCAGGATCATTTTACATTAAACGCTTCTGATTAAATATTGTTCTTGTGATATTATTTATTTCCACACTTCCTCCATATGAAAAAAATAATGTAACATTTTCTTCATTATTCAGAAGAATTAAACATGCGTTTTCTATGAATTTCCAGCCCTTTATCAATTTGAAGATAGATATTTCTTGTCTCACTGATCATAATTAAAGTATGTACTTATGAAAGAAAATCTATAATGTGCAGAAAAATGTAAACAATAATATACCTTAAAAATAACCTGGTGCAGAACTAATGATTTAATATTTTGATTTATTTCTGTCCAGTCTTTTCTCCATGAAAAAATTATATATAGAGAGAGGAAATGCTGCTGCATTTACTTAATATTATGTCACAGGAATTTTTTAAGCCAATAAAAATTCTGTGTAAATGTTACTTAAAATGGATGCAAAATACTCTATTGCATTAATGTGCCAAAATTCACTTCATATTCTCCTCTGAATGACAATATAAGTTCCACCAACACATATACACTTGTTCTGATACCATAACTTGCCTATTAGGAACAACTCTGCACATTCGTCTCAATTTACATTTCTGACCCTCTTGAGAGCATGTCTTAGAAGTGGGATTATGGGGCCAATGCATCAAGAAGATTTATCTAGTCCTAAATGTCAGTAGTGCCAAGGTTGAGAAGCCTTGCTCCAAAAAATTAGGTCTCTTAAACAATCGATCACAAATTAGAAAGGTCAACAATAGTTCCTCAGTATCATTAAATATCCAGTCAACATTCAGATAAGGTTCACAAACTGTGAACCGATCACAAACTGTGATCAGTTGGTGCACCTTGCAGTCTCTTAATGTGTATATTTCTCCCCTCACTGTTGATACATTTTCCTTGTCATAATTGGTTTGATGAAGATATAGCGCTGATTTCCCACTGTAGATTCCCTCACTGTTTGGATGAAGACATTCTGCAGTGCCATTTATATGTTCCTTTCTCCCCTTTATTTCCTCTAAAGAGATAGTGTCAGTTTTCTCTTATTCCACTTAGAATTTGGGGGCAAGAATACTTCACAAGAGCTATTGCACACTTCTTTTAAGGGGGCAGAGAATGTCTGAAGGACTCATTTTCCTATGCAAGCCATCAATCACCACCACTGCTGATCATCACCTACATTTACTGTTTCATTGCTGGCTCACTTTCTCTTCATTTGGGATACTCATTGTAAGGGCAATGCCAGATTGTAGCTGCCCATGGCTGTTTTGCTGCCACATGAAGAGGGCTGGGTGTGAGAGTCAACAGACCGTGAAAACATAGTAAATGCGCCAGCAAACAGACCCATGCTCTCATGGCATCATTTGCATCCTGAATCTGCCTGATCCTGAATCTAGATAAAATTTTCAGACTCCCAGTACGTAAATGGGATTGGGGGGGGGGTGGGTGTATGCTTTGCTTAATCTACTTTTATCTGGGTTCTTCTCTTGCCACTGAAAGAGTTCTGACTAGTCCAGTATATAATTAAATTGGAAAGAGTTTAAAATCTTTATAACATTATTTCTTTCCATCCTGAAACAAAGTAGACATCTTACTTTGTTTCTTAATTCCTTAATGTCTCTTGGTAAAGCTTCGCGGTTTTTTTCACAGAAATTTCTTACTTCTTATTTCAGGTATTCTAGCTATACTGTACATTTGATATTAATATAAATGAATTATTTTATTGGTATAGTACATAATATTATTGCTCTTATATAAGACATGGATATCTTTTTATATATTTTATGGTCTTGCCACATTGTGTATTAGGTATAAGACTTTTAAAATTGGTTTTCTAGAGCTTCTCAGTTAGAAAATATAATATCCAAAAATATCTAAAAATATAATATCCAAAAAATGGACTATTTTTATCACTTTTATATCTTATATTTGTTACCCTGAATTTCCAGAATAATTTGAGAGAATCATGCTGAGAGGCTAGTCATTGCTGATTTGCTCTTGGGTGGAGTTTCTGCTCTGCATCAATTCTCAAAAAACTTTTGTTCCTTCCTTGTTGTTGCCATCAATTTGTCTGTCATATAATTGAGTCCAGCCAACCCCCAGCCTAATTTATTGCTTCTACCTCTGTGGGGACTTGAAAACAACAGAATAAAGATATTAGAATCAAACACAGAATTATATTTCTTCATCTACAAGCTGAGCATAATAAGTATCCACCTCAAAAGTTGTTCAATGATTCAATTAATCAATGCACATAAAATATATAGACTTGTATATGGCACCTACAGAGAGATATAGGCCCTGACTGGTCTAAATGAGAATTTCCAGGCAAACAGAAAACTTGACTATAACAGTGCTGTGCTGTGGTCAGTTGCTCAGTCGTGTCCGACTCTTCGTGACCCCATGGACTGCAGTCCACCATGGGGTGGACTCCATCCATCCATGGATCCACACCTCCTCCATCCAGGGGATTCTCCAGGCAAGAATACTGGAGAGGGTTGTCATTTCCTTCTCCAGGGCATCTTCCTGACCTAAGGATCGAACCCATGTCTCCTGCATTGGCAGGCAGGTTCTTTACCATGGAGACACCTGGTAAGCCCTTATTATAATAGTATGATTTCACAATTTTAATTTTGGCTGCATTATTTTCTTGTTGGTTCAATGGTTTCCAAATAGCTGAAATTTCTACATTAGTGAGATATCACATAAGGGCACTTTCTTCCCACGTGAGACTATTCCTTTGCTTGAATTCCTCCAGTCTGGGCAGAAATGTCTATTTCTATGTCATTATTTCCTTAATTATAGTACTTTTCCACTCAGTAAAGGTGACTGTGATTTTGAAAATAACTATTAATAGCTAGTGATTGATTACTGTAATTTCTATGTATTGATTGATTATAATCTAAGTTTTTAATTAATTAATTTTTAGGCAGAGCAGATGACAGCCTTCAGACAGCCAATGCCATTCTCTGACATAAACTTTAGAGTCCTTTTCCTCAAGAAGATGCAGTCCAGGCATTCAGTAACCTTGACTTGAGACAGTCACTGAGAAAATACAGGTGTCCATCAAAAAAGTCATAGATCTGGCAAAGAAATGGGATGTTGCTGTACCCTGTCCCAGAGACTGATGCTATCACTTTTCTCTCTTTTTCATCAGAAGCTGGAATGGAAACTAGACCCCAGGCACCTGAATCTCAGACAGGGAATTCAAGTAACGAGGGCAGGCATAATAAATCGGGGGCTCCACCCTCAACTCAGCCTAAATCCGAGAGACAGAAGAGAGTCTGACTCCTTGTTATATTGTCTGGTTTCTTTGTTTGTTTGTTTTTGTTTGAAATGTGTGGTTCAGAGAAAGCAAGGATGGTTAAAGGATTTTGGCCTAATAGTAAAGAAAGCATTTGATGAAGTAAAAGTGGGGAAGGGTAGTGTACACGAATATAGACGGAGTCAAGACTACTGTCCAAGACTGTTCGTTTTTTTCCCCTCTCTCTCCCTTTTTTTTTGTTTTGTTTTATTATTGTGTGTGTAAGTCCAAGACTGATTTGAGAGAAAATGAAAAGATCTTTGACAAATATCTATAAGGCCAAAGTGACTCAAACTCTCTGCCATCCATTTCAAAAACTGGCAAATAAAGTCTTACAAAAATTGCTTTTGAAGTTTGCTCTCTTTTGTGATTAAGATTAATATCTGTTTGAATTTGAGCCTGTCTCTTATTTTTTCCAGAGCCATTTGGTCTAAGCATCATGGAAACTCAGAACAGAATCAGGGCCTTGAAAGATCATGCAGGTTATCCTCTTTCCTTTAGGCCTTAAAGTGCACTGTAACTACTTCGCACACCACCTCTGCCCCAAGAAAACATGAACTGCCCTGTTTTTCAGTAATCTTAAAGGAAATGCTATTTCACAAATTAAAATTCATGAAAATTTATTTTCCAACAGAAAATATAAAGACATGCCAAGTTTTCTTTCACAAAAGCAGTTACTCAACCTGTCACTGCATTTTTGCATGATTGGAGTAGAATTTTCTCATTTAGAATTCTTTAAGTGCCTACAGTTCACTCTCTACATTCTTTACAAGGAAAAATTATAATTATAAAAGTATTAGTCACTTTTTCTACCTCGTAGTAAAGTATAGGCTGAATTTATATATTCATGGTACTATACTCTTTACTTGCTAAGCTATTTTGAAAAATAATTTTATTCGAGTAATACTGATTGAACATTTACATTATTATCATGATACTAAGTTTTCGGAATTCCAAATGTCTAAGATATTTTTCTTGATGTCCAGTTTATCTTCTAAGGAGAAGAGGCAGATAAACAAACACATGAACATACACACATACATCTACATATTAAAATTTTGTATAAGCAAAGTTTCAATACATATTAATTATATTAAGTCACTCATATGTTATCTAGTGATTTCCATATATAATGAGTTGATTAATTTTTGTAAAGCCCCTCTTTTATTAGAAAGAAATAGATGAGAATGTTAATGTAGTTATGTGTGTATATCTTCAGGATTTGTTTTTCTGTTTCTGTTTTCTTTATTATGATGAATACATCATTTTTATAGTATAAAGGTAATTACAGTGATGTATGTGAATTATTTCTTAATAAAACTGGAAAAAAAGAAGCAATTAATAAACTCCTCTCATTCCATAAAATGCATGCTAACATTACAGCAAACAAATTCAGGTTGTAGACATGGCAGCTTGATGAACCAAAACTCTAAAGTTCAACAAAGATTCTAAAGAACCGTACATAGCTTTAAAGTCAGCATATTAAGTGGAACTGAGTTGCCAAGACCACCTGACCTGCCTCTTGAGAAACCTGTATGCAGGTCAAGAAGCAACAGTTAGAAGTGGACATGGAAAAATAGACTGGTTCCAAATAGGAAGAGGAGTACGTCAAGGCTGTATATTGTCACCCTGCTTATTTATATGCAGAGTACATCATGAGAAATGCTGGGCTGGAGGAAGCACAAGCTGGAATCAAGATTGCCGGGAGAAATATCAATAACCTCAGATACGCAGATGACACCACCCTTATGGCAGAAAGTGTAGAAGAACCAAAGAGCCTCTTGATGAAAGTGAAAGAGAAGAGTGAAAAAGTTGGTTTAAAGCTCAACATGAAAACTAAGATCATGGCATCAGTCCCATCACTTCATGGCAAATAGATGGGGAAACAATGGAAACAGTGAGAGATTTTATTTATTTATTTATTTATTTATTTGTGCTCCAAAATCACTGCAGATGGTGATTGCAGCCATGAAATTAAAAGAGACTTACTCCTTGGAAGGAAAGTTATGACCAACCTAGACAGCATATTAAAAAGCAGAGACATTACTTTGCCAACAAAGGTCTGTCTAGTCAAGGCTATGGTTTTTCCAGTAGTCATGTATGGATGTGAGAGTTGGACTATAAAGAAAGCTGAGTGCCGAAGAATTGATGCTTTTGAACTGTGGTGTTGGAGAAGACTCTTGAGAGTCCCTTGGACTGCAAGGAGATCCAACCAGTCCATCCTAAAGATCAGTTCTGGGTGTTCATTGGCAGGTCTAATGTTGAAGCTGAAACTCCAATACTTTGGCCACCTGATGTGAAGAGCTGACTCCTTTGAAAAGACCCTGATGCTGGGAAAGATGAAGGGCAGGAGGAGAAGGGGACGACAGAGGATGAGATGGTTGGATGGCATCACCGACTCAATGTACATGAGTTTGGGTAGACTCCGGGAGTTGGTGTTGAACAGGGAGGCCTGGTGTGCTGTGGTTCATGGGATCACAAAGAGTTGGACACGACTGAGTGACTGAACTGAACTGAGTTGCCAAAAGGGGCACTATGAAGAAATTTTAAATGGACATTTTTCCCCAAAAATGCAAATAACAATACAGAAAACTATTGTCCAAAAGTACATATTTTCTGTTCACTTAAGGAATGGTTTTCTGATCTATTTTTTTAAAGAAGTTGATTCTTTCTTTTAAAGGAAGCCTTGAGTAGCCTCAACATATAAAGAACATAGAAGTGGCTCTGCTTTGTTTAAAGGAGGTCCTGAGGATAACCCAGCCCAACATACCTTATCCTCCCTTCAATTTCCTGTCTCCAGTGTCACTTCTGAGGACTCTTTGGCTCTAGGGAGTTTGAATATCATCAAGTTTATCCCCACCTCATATCTTGTTTATCCCTACTGGGGTTATGCCAACACTGTGTAAACTTTCTTCACAAAGGAAGTTTCGACCTAGAGCCTGATCAAATGAATATAGAATTTGGGTGTTTAAATGAATAATGCTTGAATACATGCAAGTACTTGATTGCTGACACACAAGTCGGCTTACCATGTTTTTCAAGATGTTGACAGCAGCTGTCCACCAGCCTGGGGACCTGCCTGTAAATAGGATTCAGGCTGAGTTTCTTATCTCTGGCTTTTTCTTTTTTATTTTGAGCCTCAGCAGGCAAGGAGAGCTGTAATGCTTCCAGCAGTCGAGACTGATTGTCATCAAGATCGGTGATAGAATCCACTGACATTGCACCCTGCAAATTATACACAGACATGAACAAAGAGGACAGATGGAGAAAATAAAAACTGCTTCCCCCAATGCTGTCCAATAAATACTTTTGCCCACTTGAAATTATACTGTTTAATTGTGCTGTTTCTATTTTAAAAGGAAAAAACCAAACACCTTTTGAAAAAGGAAACCTTCACGACATAGGGTAAGGTACTGACAGTTACAATTTCAACAATAGACAACTTTTTCCAAATGGAAGACAAGAGATGGCAAACATACAATTAAAATAGTTTGACCCAACCACTTCATTCCTTGAAACAAGAAAAAAAATCACATACTTGATGAATGAGGTAAAGTCAGAGAATGCTTGTGAATTAAAAAAAAAAAAAACAACTCAACTATGGCTCTAGAAAGTAGATTTTAAAATAGGATTCCATAAACAGTCTTAGTTTGGTTTTCCCCAGAAGCGGCACCATGTACTTTATTAGGGGAACAGTCCCAGGAGACAGCTGTAGGGGAGTGGGGAAATGAGAAAGGGAAGTGAAGGCAGCCAGTGAAGGGAGCCTCGACAAGCCCGTGACAAGCCTGTGGGCAGCTGGAGCCCAACTTCCCTGGGAACCTGGACGATCGTGTAGGTCATGTACCTCAGAGCTATTCCTGCTAAGGAGTGAGGGAGCTGAAGTATTTACCACGCGTCTCCAGAGTCATTGATTAAGGGCAACTTCTGGTAGGAGTAGGGAGGTGACATTAATGCCTTGCTATTTGCAGGCTGTCACCTGCATGGGTGGGTGTCTCTGGCCATCAGAGAGAGCCTCCAGCCAAGAGATGAGGTTAATGACAGGTGGAAAGAGGGCTGGCGCGCTAGGAATGGTAAGAGCTAAGGGTAAGGGCACAGGGCACCAATGATGTCTGTATGGCCACCCACTCTTTGATGAAACCTAGAGGAAGAAGTTGGCAGCTTGGGTCCTAGCAAGGCCTGGACAGAGGGGAGAGCATTGGGGAGGCTCATTGCCTGGGTTCTAGAGTCTCAGAAAGCTCATACATGGCATTTTGGTGTCATTGCCTTGTAGACTTATACACACAGTCTGAGAGATTATGATGGGACTGGAAGAACACTTCCATCATGCAAATTCAAATATTCTTGGATGCTGTCATTTCTTCAGTTTTAAACATAGGGAAACCCTGGAAACAGCAATGGGTAGCTCAGGTACCCCTGAATCTTGGAGAGGTTCTAAATGTTGGAGGCTGACTGAGCAATTGTGGATTTTAACTGGGAAGTGTCTGGGGTTTTAACTAGGGTAGGAGTTGATGGCTGGAGATGGCAAAGATTTGGGCTTTCAGGCAAGAGGAAAAGGAGAGACCTCTCAATGACCCAGGAAGTTTCAGAGATATTTATCTCCTGATTCAGCTAATCATCAACCAGTTTGCCTGGAAACTCAGCTTTCCTGGATTGAAATGTGAAATCTGAAGTGCTAAATAATAGCACAGTGCCTGGAACATGGTACTCACTTAATAAATGGAGCCATATTATTGTGTGCTGCATGCTAAGTCGCTTCAATTGTGTCTGACTCTTTGTGACCCCATGGTCGGCAGCCCGTCAAGTTCCCTGGAGTTCCCCATGGGATTCTCCAGGCAAGAATACTGGAATGGGTTGTCATGCCCTCCTCCAGCAGAATCTTCCTGACCCAGGGATTGATCCCATGTCTCTTATATCTCCTGAATTGGCAGGCGAGTTCTTTACCACTAGCACCACCTACCATGTTATTACAGTATTGATTTGAAAGAGAATGTGTTTGTGTGTGTGTGTGTGTGTGTGTGTGTGTTTCTACAGTTATGTTGGGGGAAAAAACCATGCCCTATTGATAAGAAAAAATCTCATTGTTTATGAAATAAGTGTAAGTAAGTGTTAGTCGCTCAGTCCTGTCAGATCCTTGGCGACCCCATGGACTGCAGCCTGCCAGGCTTCTCCGTCCATGGGATTCTCCAGGTAAGAGTACTGGAATGGATAGCCATTCCCTTCTCCAGAGGATCTTCCCGACCCAGGGGTCAAACCTGAGTCTCCTGCATTGCAGGCAGCTTCTTTATCATCTGAGCCACCAGGGAAGCCCTGTTTATGAAGACCAGTAGCAAATTTTCGTAGCCAGGCATAGTTCTTAGATGAGATGAAGAGATTAACAAAAACACTTGGCCCTGCCCTCAAGCCTCACAGTTTCACAGGAAATTCTGGTAACAACAGAAGATCACACTAGAGCAGGATCAGTGGTGACGTTGTAGAATGTTCTGAATACCATGGGTAACCAAGGAGAGGCACCCAATACCTTTGAAAGGGGCGGGGAAAGGCTGTGAGGGTGTGTCATGTGTCTCGGGGCCAATGCAAATTCTCCCTGAATGGGGTTGTTGACAGATACTTGGACACAAACTATATTTCCAGTTTTCACATAAGCCAAGACTCAGAGAATAACCTTAGAACTCTTCCATTGTCCTAACTTCAGTGTCAGAGAAAACACTGGCCAACTCACCCTCCTCCTGGCCCGAGGAGCTGGCTCCGGGGTATTGGGAGACGTTGACTCATTTGGTGTTTCCGAGGTGGAGCTGAGAGATGAGTTACTGCTTGAGAGTTCTTTGTTTTGTCTTTTATTTCCAAATGGGAGGAGGGAAGCCACAAAATCGGAGGCATCCTTGTGCTCATCCCTCTGCGAGTCCTGCTTGAGTTTATAGGCCCGGTCATTTGCAATAACTTGGGATAAGGGCATTCCAAAAGCCTGCGGGATGAACTCTGGAATCAAAAGAACAAACATTCACTTTCAGAGGAAGAGCAGACCAGGGAAGACTCTCAGTCATGTTGCAGATTGAAGGGCAGACATATTCAAATGACTGTTTTCTGAAGAACTGATTCATCCATCAAAATATGGAGATGACTTTTGGGTTTGTCAGAGAGGCCAAAGTTTCTATCTCAGTAAAGAAAGTCAGTTTGTTTAAAGAACAAGGGTTTTAGAAATCTAGGCTACCAGTTTTTCTCCATGTATCTCAAGAATGTTTAAAGGAAATAACTTTACAGAGAAAGGAGACATTTCTGATAGGATGAACATGGTCTATACAGTCCATGGAATTCTCCAGGCCAGAATACTGGAGTGGGTAGTCTTTCCCTTGTCCAGGGGATCTTTCCAACCTAAGAATTGAACCTAGGTCTCCAGCATCAGGCGGATTCTTTACTAGCTGAGCCACAAGGGAAGCCCAAGAATACTGGAGTGGGTAGCCTATTCCTTCTCCAGTGGATCTTCCTGACCCAGGAATCAAACTTGGGTCTCCTGCATTGCAGGCAGATTCTTTACTAACTGAGCTATCAGGGAAGCCCCCTCATAGGTACACCATTTTACAAACTTAAGTCTTTGATTGATGTCTCAAGAACCCCCAAAGCTGACAAGGCCTGAGAAGACTGTGCGTATACATGCATTCAACAGGCACTTACTGAATACCTATATGTACTATGTTAAGCTATGCAGTGGGGATTATGCTCTTGCAGGCTTCAGAATGTGGGGTGGGGTGAGGGAGTAGAGAAACAGATAAATAAATAATTATAATTGAGTCTATCATGTGCTATAGTGGCTTCCTTGGTGACTCAGTGATAAAGAACCTGCCTGTCAATGAAGGACACCCGGGTTCTATCCCCCCTGCATCGGGAAGATCCCCTGGAGGAGGGCATCATAACTCACTCCAGTATTCTTGCCTGGAGAATCCCATGGACAGCGAAGCCTGGTGGGCTATAGTTTACGAGGTCTCAAAAGAGTCCAACACAACTGATTCACTTAACCACCACCACACGGGCTGTTAGGAGAGAGATGCAGAAAGCCTGAAATTCAAGTAAGTGGTTACACTTTGAGGTTCCAAGTCAAAGATCAGCGCCTGAGATGACAACCCAAGAGGCAGAGGAGCAGCTGGGGAAGGAGTTTGTTCAGTTCTTGCTTTGTGTTTTTTGTCCCCACATGCTGCCTCCAATTGCTGGGTTTGTGCTGTCACTCTCATGATCTACATTCAAGCCATTCTCCTGGCCACACACAGAAGTGGATCCTCACCACCAAGTATCTGGTGAAGGGCCCAGGATATAATTTGTTACATCTTCCAGGAAGGACAATTTTGGGGAAGGAGCATCATGGAGATGCAGACAGTCGCATTCTGGATCTCTAGAGTAAATCCATTTGTATACACATACATTGTAAGCACACCAGTCCTTAAGGCCAGGCATTTTATTGGCAATATTTTAAATTCATGCTGAAAAGCATTAATAATTAAATTAAATGGATTATTCCTTTGAGGCTCAAAATTACACCCCCTAGCAGCAGAAACTGGAGTCTAGCCTCACCCTTGTTTTTATAACCCTTGTGAATAAAACCAGAATGATCAAGGGAAAACAATTCAAAGGTTGAAAAGGCGAACATTAAATCAGGTGGAAAGAGGCTCTAAAAGGTTTTCCTCTTTGATCCATGGCAACAGCTTGAACATCACCGGGCTAGTACTCAAATCTGCAGTAAAAGCAGAAATGGCACTTGAGAAGTCTGCACCTCTTGTTCTGTCAAAACATGCAATTTATTTTGAAGTGAAAAATCAAAACTTCCACATTCTGGATTTTCAGAGGATGCTTCTAACCCTCTATCACCAAACTAGTCAGCACATGATGGTACAAAAAATAATTTAGGCATTTGTTTTGAGGATCAATGTGGACAGGATAGTAAGATCCAATAGTCACTACTGGTAAAAGGTCATTTTCACTACTAGCAAAATTAGAAACCAAAAGATGCAGCTCAGGATTTATTGTGTCTATCAGTGCTATCTTGTCTATGGGAATAATCAGTTTTCCTTCAAAAAGGTTGGGGCAAGTCTAGGAACATGTGTATGGCAAGGCTGATAGATATTTGTAATACATAAAAACTTTTGGAGAGTAATAACAGCAGAAAGGACATTGATAAATGTATCAAGTGACCTGTGTCTGCTCAAGTAGGCATATTCATAGCAGGGATTTAATATGACATGAGGAGTATTGATTTCTTTTCGAGACATTTTATCCATATAAAGGGAATCAACCAGCTTCGGCTAGAGATTTCTAATCTCCTTGGCAAAAAAGAAGAATTATGGTTTCCTTTGGTATCTCATTTCTCATATCTAAAATTTGCTGCTCTACTTGTAAATTGGAATAATGGAATACATGTAAATCCATGGCTGATTCATGTCAATGTATGACAAAACCCACTACAATATTGTAAAGTAATTAGCCTCCAACTAATAAAAAAAAATAAAATAAAAATAATAAAATAAAATACTTGTAAATTGGAATAATGGAATACAAATGAAGCAGATGGAATACATAAAGTCATTCTCCCCAAATGACTCTCTCTCTTTTCTTTCCATTCAAGAGATGTAGCCACCTGTAACAGATTTTTATTTCTCTCTAATAGGCTTTCTTCCCTGGCTGAGTTTATTTATTCTTTCAGTGGTGGTGTTTTGATCTAATCTCTTTAATTTCTCATTGCTTTCTCCAGAGAACTCTCACAAGCTTGAGAGAAGAGACAGATATCTCTATGCCCTGAGCTTTTGTCTCAGTGTCTAGATGCTGGAAAGTTCTCGGCAGGATTCCTTGAATATGATTGCTTCTCGAAATGTGGTTATTGTAAAATTGAGGATTCAGCCCAACTGGGTTGAGCAAAACCTTCCTTTTTGTGTAAATAAAGTGCTGGGCACAGGCTTATCTGTGGACTCGAACACCTTCTGTTGGGGGGAAAAGGGAACCTACGGACTCTGTGCTGCTAGCTGCTAATAAAATTGATAATGGGTTTTGCAAACCATAAAGACATTAACCAGGAGTCAGTGTTCTGGGCCCAGGGACAGTGTGTATCATGTTCTGATCTATTGTCTGCGCTTCCTGAGGAGACGGCATCTGCTGCCGTCCTCACTGCAGAGGCTGTCTCCCTTCCCTCCCCGTGGTCCTGGGCCCCTGGAGGTGGTGTGCTGGTCTCTCAGCTCCCTGCAGCAACTTCCAGATCCTTCCCTCCCACTGCATGGCTGAAAGCTGAGGCTGCAAGCTTCCTTGGCACGCCTGCTCATCGCTCTCTTCTACCCCGGCAGTCAGAACCCTAGGCCACCATCATCCCAGGTGACGTGGATGTCTACCTAAATGACCCACCTGATTCTCTGTTCTCACATCTCCTCGACTTCCTCCTCCCCTTCTGTTTTCCTGCATGCCACCTTTTTTCACCAGCTCCCTCGGTCCCATCCTGGACCCTACCTTCACCAGAACTAAGTGCAGGGCAGCAAAGGAGACACAGATGTAAAGAAGAGACGTTTGGACTCGGGGAGAAGGAGCGAGCAGGATGATTTGAGAGAATAGCACTGAAACATATATATTACCATATGTAAAATAGATAGCCAGTGGGAGTTTGATATATGATGCAGGGCACCCAAAGCCAGTGCTCTGGGACAATCTGGAGGGATGGGGTAGGGAGGCGGGTGGGGGCTGAGGTTCAGGATGGAGGGGACACATGTATGCCAATGGTCGATTCATGTTGATGAATGGCAAAAACCATCACAATGCTGTAAAGTAATTATCCTCCAATTAAAACAAATTTAAAAGTTAAAAAAAAATAGACGCACAAAAAAGTGATCTGGCATCTGGATTCAGGCTTCCTCCCTCCACTGTTGTCTCACAGCCCCAACCCAAGATCATGTTTTACACTGCGGTGTGACAGTCCTTTCAAAGATACCATTAAGCCATCCCTCCTTAATTTAAAGAGCAGTAACAAATACTTGATGTTTCAACTGTTATTTAATATGACACAGAATGAAGTTGTATCAACTATTCTTCTATAGGGCTACTTCACAGCTCACATGTAGTAACACATATAAGACAGGGAGGGACAATAAAACATGGCATGATATCATTTCAGCATAAAGAAAGGTGCCAGACCTGAACTATCACCAGAGTTTATGTCGATAAACATATGGCATCATCCGAAAATATCCTATAGTGTGGGGACCTAGCTCCCAGACTTAGGCTATGGTAAAACCTATTCCCCTTGTGCTCTGATTAGGGACAATATTAACTGGAACAAAGCAGCTATTTTTAAACCTTTTTTTCCCAAAGTGATTCTTTTTGGCAGAAGAAAAATTTTCTGAAGTTCTGAAAGTTGAAAATACTTTTTGGATGCCAGGTAATTTAACAAAGAGAAATGAAGGACTTGAAAGTATTCTGTATGAAAATATATGTTTTCTGAACCAGCATCAATCCTGAATTGGTTTCCATATGGAAATCAAGTCATATGGGCACTGCTTAAAGTGGCAGGAGGGACACAAAAGTGTCACAGGATCTGCTGTATATTATGTTAAGGCAATTCAACAAAACACAGGACATGAATCATTCTGATTGAATCAATTAATATAGCAGCAAATGAAACATTTAATGAGTCACTCTATTGGGAGAGCAATTTGATTCTAAAAAGCTTCTCCTATCTATTTTTAGATGACCTAACCCAAAAGGTCATTTAGAGTTTCCTGTTTTCCTTCTTTTACTCTTGAATTCAAATGACTGTCATTTTTCACATGTGCAGCTGTTATGAACCCAAATGGTAATATTCAAATGGAAGAAAACAATGTGAACTGACCACAACTGTGGGAGCCCTGCACGCTGCTCGATCATACCCTGGTTCCCAGGACATCCATGTGATAGATGTGTGGACATACACAGGACTTTCTAGTCAGAAAAAAATGCCATGTCATTAAGCTTCACTTAAGCCTAAGATATCACGTTTTCAACTATGAAAGCTACCAAAACAAACAAACAAACAAACAAACACAACCACCTCTTATGCCGTATATCTTGATATTTCTTTTCTTAGTTGGATGCGTGATGTATCTTTTCCTTGGAATCACCAGAATCTGCCTTCCTTTTCCCAGCCGGCACCCCATGCAACCTCATACAACACTGCCAAATTTTCAGTGAGCCTATATAATATCTAAATATGATTTGGTCTGAAAAATGTATACTAGCCCAGTGCATACTGGTTGATTACTTCCCCTGGCCCTTCTGTCCAACCCTTACTTACTGCTTTTTTTTTTTATAGAGAGAGGCACACATACATCTCCCTCTGATGAGGGAATTAAAACATCTGCAAAAAAATGCTCATTCTGTTTCACTTAACACGAATGGGCACTTCTGAAGAATCACCTCAAGTCTACATTATGTGTGTTCACATCCCAGTACCAATATCATCATCCTAGAATAAACAACTTTAAAGATAACACATTACTAATATCAGTCTGGATGATCCCTTTAACAACTCTATAACACCGAGGATTACTCTAACTTAATGAGATAAAGATGGCCCATGGCAGGAGTAGGATGAGTAAAAACTCTAGTTTAAAAAAGCTACCCTGGCTACTAATATTCATTTAAAATATAAGGGCATGAATTTATGAATTAATTGAACAGAATACAATTTTTCAGACAATGATGCGTAGCTGAAGAAGAGTAAATATCCTTTGCATTCATTATGCTAGCATTAGATTCTGCTACGGGAGACTGTGCCCTGATGAGAATACTGGTTAGTATGGACCAGAGTTCTCATCTTAGAAAGTGCACGTTGGTAGTTATAAAAGACTCATGCCCAGTAGCTCTAGAGACCAATGGGGTCAGATTTTCTGAGGTGGGGGCATTGGAATGTTTAAAGGCTTCACAAATTATTCTATCAATACAATGCAGTCAGGGGCAGGGATCCTTGATATTTTCATGTCCTTTCCTCCAGCTGGAGGTAAACATTTGAAATGTCTGGAGATATTCTGGTTGGGTGTGGTGGTACCAGCATCGAGTGGCAGAGACCAGGGACGCTTATATTAAACATCTCAGACAATGTACAGGACAGCCCCCACAGCAAAGAACTGTTCCGTCGAAAATGTCAATAGTCCCAAGATAGAGATATCCTGCTCTAAGGGAAGTAAAACACTAGTTTTCTATTCTCTAGAATTCTGTTTTAAATTTTATTTTTAAAATTTATCTTTTAATTGGAGGAAAGTTGCTTTACAATATTGTGATGGGTTCTGCCATATGACAATGCAAATCAACCATAATCATACATATATCATACATATATATCATATATATCACCTCCCACTTGAGTCTCCCTCCCCTCCCACCACCCCACCTCTCTAGACCATCACAGAGTGCCTGCAACTTCTCACCAGCTATCAGTTTTATACATGGTAGTGTATATATGTCTATGCTACTTTCTCCGTTCGTCCCTCTCTTTCCTTCCCTCACTGTGTCCATAAATCTGTTCTCTATATTTGCATTTCCATTCCTTCCCTGCAAATAGGTTCATCAATACCGTTTTTGTTCTATGAGGATTCTTTATCTCTTTTTAGTCCAAGAACCAGATGTCATGACCCTTTAGGCACAATTCAAGATATGGGTGTAGAGTCTGGAATGAGTGGTGTATCTAGGTCTTGTCTAATACTTATCACAATGCATTTATTTTTATACCTTTGATTTCATTGCCTTTCATTGCCTTTTCAAGCAGAAATTTGATCATTATATAAAAGAACTCCAAGGCAAGACATAAGGCCTCCCTTACTCAACACTCATTCACTATGACACATAAAATGGAAATACACTCATATGACCACACCACTCAGCAGTCATTTCATATGAAGACGTAGAATCAAGCCACAAAAAGATGTACTGGGCTAATGGGGCCCAGGTGCCCATTATGCAGGCTCAATGAATATTAGTTAAAAAGGAACACAAATACCTCTGAGAGAGTGGCTAAACTATTGGTTTCCTAAATATCCACGGAAGGGGACAGTCTGAAGAGAGTCAACCATTTCCAAAACACACAGGGCAAAAAAAAATGAGCATGCTGGGATCTAACATTACAATACTGACAACAGCCCATTGTCACTAACCATGAGGATGAGACTATTTCTTTCCAGTAGAAATGGTAGGCGAATCCAAACTCTTTCTCATTCAACTAGCCCTGCCTAACTATCTAGATTTGCCAGACAGCTGGTTAGCGTTAGAGATGCTATCCATGGCTACTCAACCCAGGTTTTCCTTATACATTGCTAATTGGCCAGCTTCATAATTGGAACCATGAACTTGGCATGAATCATACTTTGCTGTAACCAACTGAACTCATCAATTCAGTACAGGGCCACTTGAACACAAAAGAGTAGACCCAAACAGCCTTTAATGGCATTCCACTGTAGAAATCCAGTTTACATAATAGAGTTGAACCACGTAAATCAATGCAAATCAAAAACCCCAGCAAATTCAACCAGTATGCTCTATGGAAGACACATTTGCTTTAGTTCATTCTGTCTTTTACCTCTGTCTTTGTTTTTCTCCTTCCCGAGTGAATCCAGTTTCTTTCTCAAAGATTTCTTTCTCTTTTGTCCATCTGTAAATATTAAAAAAATGAAAAGTTGTAAAAACAAGCAGATAAATGACAGTTTACATTTTCAATAAATACATTTGAGCAGAAGTGTGACCTCTCACTTTACTCATAATTTGGCATTTTAAATAGAGTAATGGCCTTGAAAATACGTGAAAATTCTTAACTTGGATTGAACATATAGCCAGAATCTTGGTGTATGCTCTTTAATTCTATTTCAACCATGGAAAGTACAGGAAACTTATCTCCTTCAGAAGCCATTTAGTTTTGACACTTAGATATGTTTACTTTTACTATTACATGAGTCTCTTCATATGTATGCAAACTAATGTCATCTCAAATTAAATCTCCATGAGAGGGAAGTCAACAGTACACACAGCTTTGACATCCATGAGCTAATAGAGTGTAACTGAATAAGGAAGTGAATTTGGGGTCCATAGAACTCAAATTTAATCACTGTTACACCATTTACTAATCCTGTGACTTTGGATAAGTCTCAGGGTCCTCATCTATACAGTGGGAATTTCATGGGAGTTCTTGTGAAGGCTAAATAAAATGTTGCACATAAAGTGCTTAATGGGGAGCCTGACACATTCCATAAATTCAGATCTACTCTCTTTGGGGGGGGCAGGTTTCATAGTATTCCATAGTATGGCTATACCATAACTTAATTAACTATCCCCCATCACCCCCACTGATGACCATTTGGGTTGTTTCTAATTTTTACTAGAATAAATAAGGCATTTATCCTTTCAGCATCTTATATGCACTTGCAACAAATGTACTTCACTGATCAACTCACTAAAGAATATAGATACCTCCCATATCAGTAGGCAGCTGCAAATGAATTCCTAGTATGTCATCATAAAATATTGGCAGTCATCATAGTGAGAATGTGTTTTGGAATAATGCAGCTGTCAACTTCATGTGTAAGAAGTGCAAGTCAGGACTCTGCACTGCTACCCATCAGTAGAAATGTAGCACATGCTGCAAGGAAACTTGGGTTTAAAAGGGGATTAAGAATTGTTATTTTTCACAAGATATCCTTAATAGTGTAGTAAAGCAGGAGATTGAGTCCAATACAACTTAAAGGCAAGACTGATATCAGGACAAGACAGACTAGACATTCGTCAACAGAAATGAGCATTCCTGGGATCCTCACCGGGCTGCAGATGTTCCCCACGCCTCCTCTCTGAATTTTTGGAGTCAGAAGACATCACGATAAAATCAACAGGCACACGCAAGCCCTCTTTCCCTTCAAAATGCAAAGGATTATGCCCATAAAATGGACATAGTTCATGAGAGTCTTCACTTTTGCAGTTATGAAATATATAGGTGAAAATGATGTAAATCAGTTGTGATGTGGCAAAGAGCCATCAATCTCTTTCATCATGTGTATGTTCTTATCTTCAGTGTCTAAAAGATGATCTCACCACATGGCCTACCATGATCTGTTACATCATATAAACATTAATCTCTACATGTTACATCATAAAGACATCATAGACATTATCATATAGACATATTATACCATATAGACATTAAACATACTAACTGCACAAGATTCTAATCTGTTCTTCAAATAGAACTGACACATCTTTTACTTTGTAATGCTGTGGCCACCTGAAGCAAAGAGCCAACTCATTGGAAAAGATCCTGATGCTTGGAAAGATTGAAGGCAAAAAGAGAAAGGCCAGCAGAGGATGAGATGGTTGGATGGCATCACCGACACAATGGAGATGAATTTGAGCAAACTCTGGGAGATAGTGAAGGACAGAGGAGCCTGGTGTGCTGCTGCAGTCCATGGGGTCACAAAGAGTCAGACATGACTTAGTGACTGAACAACAACAACAATTTGCTCATCACTAGTTCATATCACCAAATATATTTGACTATATTAAGAGCATATTCCTTTAAAAATTCTAGCATCTCTTCATTTTAATAGTTGAGCCAGAAGAATAACTAAACCATATATTAAATCCTAAGGGTTTTTTTTTTTCATAACCAGTGGACATATCCTAAATTTCAAACAAGTTGTCAAAGAACTAGAATACATATAAGATAGGAGACATTTTCTTTTAAGATAGAGCAATTTTTAAAACTTTTTTTTAATTAGAGGATGTAGGATATGTGTAGATGTATATAAATATAAATATACAGTGTAAGTAATAATGAAGAAGTCAACTCTCACATAACCAGCAGCCAAGTTCAGATGTAGACTATTGCTAGTACCCAAGAAGCCTCCAGAGAGGGAATCATACTGAAGGTACTCTTTCATGCCTCAGTTACATATTTCATTCATTAATACTTGCTAAAATTCACCCTGTTGAGGCAGGTAGTGAAAGTGTTAGTCGCTCAGTTGTGTTCAAGTCTTGGTGAACCCCACCAGGCTCCTCTGTTCATGGAATTCTTCAGGCAAGAATACTTGAGTGGGTAGCCATTCTCTTCCCCAGGGGCTCTTCTCAACCCAGGAATTGAACCCAGGTCTCCTGCACTGCAGGCACATTCTTTAAAATGCCCGTAATTAGACAGAGGTGAACGTTATTAACTGGCAACTAGACAAAATGATGGATGATATGCAATAACGTGTAAGGAAAATGGTTTTAGCCATTTTCTCATTTAAAATCCTCAGGAAAAACAAACAGAGCTGCGCAATAAAACTGCTCACTCCTTCCTTGCAATCCATCAGTAGTTTGCTGATTGATTCTTCAATTTTTGAAGAACATCTTTTGTTCCCATAAAGCATAGACAATCTGCTCAAGAGACTGCCGTACCATGTGCTTACAACCATACAGAACAGTTTATGTTCAACCCATCATTCCTCGGATGCCAGAAAGTGTGATAAGGGCCATTCTATCTTTTAAAGTAATTTAAGCTTCCTGACTATCCATACTGCACAGCAATGTTTTTACAATGCAAATAGTGATGAGCATATGCTTAGAACCAGACATGGAAAAACTGACTGGTTCCAAATAGGGAAAGGAGTATGTCAAGGCTGTATATTGTCACCCAGCTTATCTAACTTATACACAGAGTACATCACGTGAAATGCCAGGCTGGATGAGTCACAAGCTGGAATCAAGATTGCTGGGAGAAATATCAACAACTTTGGATATGCAGATGATACCACTCTAATGGCAGAAAGTGAAGAGGAACTAAACAGCCTCTTGATGAGGGTGAAAGAGGAGAGTGAAAAAGCTGGCTTGCAACCCAGCATTAAAAACGAAAGAAAAAAAAAACTAAGATCATGACATCTAGTCCCATTGCTTTATGGCAAATAGAAGCAGTGACAGATTTTATTTTCTTGGGTTCCAAAATCACTGAGGATGGTGACTGCAGCCATGAAATTAAAAGAAGCTGTGACAAACCTAGACAGTGCATTAAGAAGCAAAGGACCTTGCCAACGAAGGTCCATATAGTCAAAGGCATGGTTTTTCCAGTAGTCATGTACAGATGTGAGAGCTGGATCATAAAGAAGGCTGAGTGCCAAAGAATTGATGCTTTTGAATTATGGTGCTGGAGAAGACTCTTGAGAGTGACTTGGACAGCAAGGAGCTCAAACCATTCAATCCTAAAGAAAATCAACTCTGAATATTCACTGGAAGGATTGTTGCTAAAGCTGAAACTTCAATACTTTGATCACCTGATGTGAAGAGCTGACTCATTGGAAAAGAGCCCAATGCTGGGCTGAAGACAAAAGGAGAAGGGGGTGGCAGAGAATGAGACGGTTAGATAGTATCACTGATTCAATGGACATGGATTTGAGCAAACCCTGGGAGATACTGGAGGACAGAGGAGCCTGGTATGCTGCAGTCCATGGAGTCACAAACAGTCGGACATGACTTAGCAACTGAACAACAACAATATGCTTACTAACTGGTCCCAGAGTGGGCACCATCTTATGGGCTACAGTGACCTGGAGAGAAAATTGGGGTCACACATCCTGATCAAAGGCATCTTGGAACAAGCACTAGAGGATTGCCCTCCATGTGCCTGCAGGAGACCACATCCTAGATGGGAGAGCCCACAGACATACAAGGCACAATAGCAGGTGGCAAGACAGCAAGGCTTCCACATCCAAGTGACCACAGAGCAAAGGAATCATTGGTATGGAGTGTGGTTAATCTAGCCATCTTGGGAGAGGCCAGTACCAAACAGGGTCTCTGGAGAGTTGAGAAATACAAAACATGAGCTTGTCCCTTAGGAGAGGCTTTTCATGGTCTCACTTGCTTTCAGGTAGTGGTGGTTTCTCTAGCTAGATGAGAAGTTCTCTGAGGGTAGAACCATATCTTCTAGGCTTTTGTCTCCCTCCAGGTAAAGAGCACAGAGCAGGGCACGCCATGAGGACTTGTCAGCACTGTCTATGACCAGAAGTCAGACGGAGGTTTTGGGTTGGTTCCAGGGAGATCCCAGGACCACTGAAGTATACAATTCCTAATTTTAATCAGATAAGATCAGATTCAGAGAATAGAGGTTATTAAAGAGTATTTTCCATATTAAGTTGATTCTAGAGATAGTAAGGGTAAAAAATATTGTCCAAGGAAAGACTCATTTTTGGTGACCGAAGGGTAAGGGTTGCTTTTGAGGGATGGTGACTGACTGCAAAGGGGCACGAAGGAGCCTCCCGGTGTGCTTGGATTGTTCCTTATCTTGATCTGGTTGTTGATTGCATGATCCATGAGCTATACATATTAAAAACCCATTGAGTTGTACATGTGGACATTCATATTTATTTACATTACTATATATATGTTATTCCTCAATAAAAATAAAAATAATAATAAAATAAATATAATAATAAAATAAATAATTTAAAAAAACAAAAAAAGACTTTGTCATGTTTATGGAATGGCACCAATGTAAAAATTACACTAACTGAATGGGGCTGCAAACTCAGCAAGAAAGTCCTGAACCACCAGAAAGTTCTTACACCTCTAACTTTTCTAAGTATCTGAATGCCCATGATCTCATCCAGCAACCATGACTTCCTTGTGACACAGGCATAC